TTTATGACTCGTAACAATTATAAAAAAATATTTGCTGGAAATCGACAACAGGAAGAGAGAAGTTAAAAATGACATCAGTATAGTTGACAAATGAAAAATAAAAATCACCATTTTTAATCTCAACGCGGTGCATGAGTGTTGAGATGGAAAACTAATCACGACTCTTATGTACAATACTTTAACAATTAAAATGAAGCCCGCATATGTGTCTAGATTTTCATGCTCTATCTGATTAAGTTCTCAAGAAGCTAATCTTTCTAAAGTTTTATCCATGTTTATTAAAATCAGTAAAACTGCTTATATCCACAAATTTAAAGTCTGTACGTAATTCAAATAGACAAGTCCAAGATTACTGTTGCTAGAATGAACTTTTATCACAATCTTTCAGGTTGAGGCACCCTCAACCTGATCTTCTAATATTAAAGAGAATGAACTTTGATAAAGTACTTCAAAAACTATGAAATTATGAGTTCAATATTATTCAATTTTCTCTTTGTAATGACGAGCAATATTGGAGCCACCTAAACCGTGAAAACGGGGTTATGAGAGAAAACTATCGGAACAAATGAATGAACCAATATTTGAGCAATTTTTTAGTTAGATTGAGGATGAAAACTATTTGAACAAATAAATGAACCAATATTTTTTTATGCTTGTAAATCATGTTTGTTATACATTATAAGCATGCTACATTGAACAATATTTTAGTTTCTTCTTCTTTTTTATACTGTACATTACTATTCAATTTACCTTATAAAATCTGACATTAGAATCCCATTTTACAATTGAAACCCACCAATAAAAGGCAAAAACATGAAACGTCTTCAAGCTCATCCTAAAACTTTTTTTAATCCTAAAGTCTGTTCATACATTTGAATCCCACAAAAGCTGGATAAAGATTTTTTTTCTTTATTTTTTTTCCAGGGAATATTAGTAGTGGGTAGTAAATATTATGCAAACGAAGACGTGAGCAAACATTAATTTCCTGGCATGAAAGGTGGGCTTATCTTTTATTACGAGGTGAAAACGATGTGTACGGTACCGTATTGGCCGTACTTTCTTTGACTTGGAATTATTAAATTCATGATATCATCTCTTTTTGGATTTCCGAATCTCACTTTAGTCTGGGTGCATGCATGCGCACTTTGAGTTAGGTGATTGATCCACAAGACTTTCGTGACAAGAAAATTTTCAAATATTTTAGCTTTGTGAGTCAATGTTCATACCTGTTAAGAGATGGAATCTCACATAGAATAAGTATATAAACATTGACTAACTTATAAAAGATTGAGTTAGTGTTCTTAATTCATGTTGATATTTTGAAATGGAATTTCAATTCTTAACATAGTATGAGAGTCAATTAACGTCTAACAAGCAATTCGATCCGATTAAGACTCCAAAAAAATTTCAAGATTTATTTGCTCAAACGACCCACCATTTTGCGAGAACATGTTAAAAGATAGAATAACATATCAAATAAAAATGTAAACATGGACCAACTTATAAAAGATTGAGTTACTCCTCCTAACAAAGCTGACCTTTTAAGATGGAATCTCAAATCTTAATAATATCTAGACTCATATGCGGACTCATGCAAGAAATTGTGAAAATCCTCCCAATTGTTTGATGTCATGGAGGATAGCCAGTATCGTTGAAAATACTATACGATCTGAGAATTCTTCATGTTAATGTATAGCAAACTGTGCTATCTGCTTAGGTACAATAATCTCTGGTGAAATATGCTAGTAACTTTTTACAGAATTGGGAAACGTTTCTTGTAATTTGAACATGGATTGAGGTTTCATGCATAGGCCTAAGTAAGTTAAGAAAGAACAAAAGATGTGATATTTTGGCAAATATTTAGAGTTTATTTATCTTTTCATATCTCTCTCTCTCTCTCTCTCTCTCTATTAATGCTTGCACACACGAACTACGGCAGCGGCTGCCCTTGTATTCCAATTTTATATATTCAACTGTGTTTGGTAATTAATTACATATGGGCCCACTTTTTTTAATTTAACTTATTGTTGGCATCACCCTTATTTCACCAACTGATGCGGATTCCTAATACAAAAGTATTATCAATATTTTTCATGCAACATGTACAATATATGAGTTACAATCTCTCACAAGGGTGGTGGATCCCGCGACTAAATAATAGTGGGTTTCACCTCCCTTGTGAGAGGTTGTAACCCAACATTGTAAAATGAGCATTATTCAACAAATTAATCATGGCATTTTTCAAGACTGAAAGAGCACTCTACATTATTCACCATAAATTCGGCACCGACATACAAGTGGTCACAAGAGGCAATCGTCTAACTTGGCCTATACATTAGATTCAATAAAAATATATCGTCATTTTGATTGAAATTCAATAATCATAGTCATCTATCCATAAATTAATATCTAGCTGGTATTTATAGGCCTAATGACAGCCTACCTTTTGAACAAAATTAAACTCAGCTATGGTGTTTAAATTGCCAAAGATATAATTAAAACAATTAAGCTATAAGTAGATAAGTTCTTTGAAGGAGGGCATGTGATGGCAATGTCAAGAATACGTGGGCCTTTTACAATGTCAACGGCAAAGACACTATAAATACCAGCTCTCTCAACCCCTTCAAACCATCCAAACACAACATCTTCTATTTTCTGTTCCTCATTCCATCACTACATACATTGTATGTGTCAATAGATACATATATAAACAGAGAGAGAGAGAGAGAGCTATAGAGAGAGAATGGCTGATATTGAAGGTTCCATTGGAAGTTCTTTGCATGGATTAACTGGCAAAGAACAAACCTTTGCCTTCTCTGTAACTACCCCCACCATCCCTACTGATACTACAGCAAAATTTGATTTGCCAGTTGATTCTGAACACAAGGCAAAATCTATCAAAATTTTTTCTTTTGCACAACCTCATATGAGATCCTTTCACCTGGCCTGGATTTCATTTTTCACATGCTTTATATCAACTTTTGCTGCTGCTCCTCTAGTTCCCGTTATTCGGGATAACCTAGGCTTGACCAGAACAGACATTGGAAATGCTGGGGTTGCTTCTGTTTCAGGAAGCATATTCTCTAGGCTTGTAATGGGCGTAATTTGTGACTTGGTTGGACCAAGATACGGTTGTGCTTTTCTTAACTTATTAACAGCACCCGTTGTTTTCTCAGTACGTAAGTATAGTAGTCGAGTTCCATATGTTGCTGTCCGGTTCATGATTGGATTCTCCCTTGCAACATTTGTATCGTGCCAGTACTGGACTAGCATCATGTTTAACAGTTCGATAATTGGGCTTGTCAATGGAGTTGCTGCTGGTTGGGGTGACATGGGCGGTGGTGTCTGTCAATTGCTAATGCCTTTTCTTTTCCATATAATAAAGGTTTCAGGAGCCACCCCATTCACTGCCTGGAGGATTGCATTTTTCATCCCGGGATGGCTGCACATAATTGTCGGTGTTATGGTTTTAACTCTTGGTCAAGACTTGCCTGATGGAAACCTTGGCACCCTGCAGAAGAAAGGTGCTGTACACAAGGACAAGTTTTCTAAGGTAAATGATACCTCCTTGTTAATTCCATTTGTCTTAATTTAATTGCTCCTTAATTAAATTTTCTTTGAGCTAATTAGTCTGTTTCTTCGTAATGCTTAGGTTCTCAAATATGCTGTCTCAAACTATAGGACATGGGTTTTTTTCCTCCTCTATGGCTTTTCAATGGGAGTAGAGCTATGCATAAACAACGTTATAGCAGAATACTTTTATGACAGGTGTGTGCTCTCATACTAATATTATATTGGAGTATTTTGACCCTAATAAGTCTCAACTTTCGGAACTGACTATAATATTTCTCCAGGTTCAATCTCAAACTACACACGGCCGGAATCATAGCCGCGAGCTTCGGTATGGCAAACTTTTTCTCACGGCCTTTCGGAGGATACGCATCTGACTTAGCAGCCCGGAAATTCGGAATGAGAGGTAGGCTATGGATCTTTTGGATTGTCCAAACTCTTGGAGGAGTTTTCTGCATTTGGCTTGGACGCGCCAATTCACTTCCCATAGCAATTTTTGCCATGATATTATTCTCCTTTGGAGCTCAAGCTGCATGCGGAGCAGCATATGGCATCATTCCATTTGTTTCTCGTCGGTCTCTAGGCATAATCTCCGGGCTAACCGGGGCCGGAGGAAACTTTGGAGGAGGATTAACCCAATTAGTTTTCTTCTCCAACACAAGATTTTCCACAGCATCTGGTCTGACTTGGATGGGAGTGATGGCAGTAGTATGCACTATTCCAGTGGCATTTATCCACTTTCCGCAGTGGGGAAGCATGTTTACTCCCCCTTCTAAAAGTGAAAAATATACTGAAGAGTACTACTATGCATCAGAATGGAACGAGGATGAGAAAGAAAAGGGTTTGAACAGTGCAAGTCTCAAATTTGCTGAAAACAGCCGATCTGAACGTGGGAAAAGACAGGAGATCGCCTCAGCAACTCCGCCACATTCAACACCAAACCATGTTTGATTTGTATGAGAATTTTTCATAATATAATAAACCCGCTATATATTAAGCTCTCAGTGTCATGCTATAAGAATTATGTAAGAAAAAGTAGTAATAACAACTACGATTAGCTCTTAGCAAGAGTTTTTACATGAATTCTGTGTACTTTTCAGTCAGTCTCTTTCACATGTAAATTTAAATAAACCCTCATGCCTCCTTTCAATTTTTGTTCATCTTGATTAGTTAATATTTGTAGCGTCTATACGAGAGACTTGTTCTATTATATTCAAATTATACTACATGTTAGTTATTTCACTTTTGTCAATAGTTGACAATTAACAATTCCATCCGCTAGAGTAGATGTACGGTAAGTATTTAACTCTGCCAACAGTCCACATATTATGCATTGCCGTACATTTTATTTATTATTACATATATTTAAACAATATAAAGTCAACGATCACCGGTACGTATTATTAATTATTACATTTATATATACACATAGTCACCTCTTTGAATATTTTGTGGTCTCAAATTAAAACTTAAAACTAGAATGCAGTCGCGTTCCCAAGTAGTTTCTACCCACTTTCGTGGGGTGTGACTTAAAGAATACGATAACCTCCAAATTTCTTTAGCACATTTAACCTGATAGAGAGAGAAAATAAATAAATAAATAAAATTTACGGTTGCCATTAGGTGAATTAAAGAATTTATAATTTATTAAGACGCACACACACATATATATCTAAGACACTACTTGGAACAAGTTATTGAAATCTTCATCTTTAATTAATATTGTTGAAAGTGCATGTAAATTGCAAAAGAAATTTTTAACTAGAAGCATAAATAAAGGTACTGTAAATGCATATGGTCTCCATCTGAACTAGGGAGAAGCAAGAATATTACAATTCTCGAATATTACAAAGAATCCTAATTTGCGCACTAAGCTCGCCGGATTCGATGCTAATCCACATGTTAAATTGAAGATTGTAAATATTAAGATTTAATACAAGTGCAAAAATAATTATATTTTAGCTACCACATAAGGAGGTCATCTGCTGTCATAAATTTCTGCCCCCTTGATTATTCGATCAATATATTTTTAATATCTCAGCACGTTAGTGTTCATATCAAATCGAAAGATTTGAAGATATCAAAAAATGCGTTCGCAACTTTCGATTCGCTACGAAGAGAGATGGGTTAAAATGTAAAAATTATAGTGATGAAACAACCTAAGGGATAACAATTGCGAGACAGCATGATCGGCCTTTTTGAGCACTAATGGTGATAGGCTTTCAACTTGCCATCCGTACTTATTAATATCACATTTTCTAATCCTGATCTTTTCACATGTGAGACTTTGACCAATTATTTGCAATTAGATTGCGAGTTGCTATCCTTTCGATTTGTCTTCTGTCACTCCATCTCTTTTTCAGTTCTTTTAATGTGATTATAAAATAATCAATTTTTTACGCTCATTTCCAATCACATACTTTTAAAAAATTATTTTTCACCTTTGTTAATATAATTTTTCTACTTATTATTCACATATTTTTCAAAAGAATCATTTTTCAAAAAATAATTTTACACAAGCACTTATTTCAAAATATAATAATATTTAAATAGGGACTTTAGTTTACTTTTCAATAATACCTTACTTTTCATTTTTAAATATTTATTTAATTTACAAGCTATAATAAATACTACAAAATTATTATTCATGCATGTATTTTCCATTATTAATTCTCAATTAATTAATGTTCACATTCATTTAATTATTCCATATGTATTTAATTTACAAACTATAATAAAAACTATGAAATCATTATTCATGCATGTATTTCATGTTATTAATTCTCAATTAAATAACATTCACATTCATTTAATTAATATTCATCTTTATTTATGCATTTCATATTACTAATTCTAATTATAAGAATTTCACATTCAAGAATGCATTTCATTATTCACGTCCATATATACTAATTAATATCAAATTTTACGTAATTGAAAATTAAATAAACGATTTAACATGTATTGTCATTTGTCACGTATATGTTTCCTGGTATTAATTTTAAATTAATTAACATTCACGTATATTCAAATATTTCTTTTACGTCACTTATAAAGCATTTCATAATTCAACGTTGACTAATGTAATAAATATACCAACAACAAAATATTAATTGTTTTGCCAAATGCCACAATATCTTCCTTAGTTGGGATGAAAATCCACACAAATTGATTTTTTGTGGAATGTATTGAGAAAAAATGCGTATTGCGGAAGAAGCCAAGCGAATTGATGTCCTCAGTAACGTATCGAGAGAACTCGTGTGGCATTATAAATGGAAGAATCCATACCAATTGATTTTTAGGAACAAATCTCAAGAGAACAAGTGTTGCATTGTCAAGGAAAGAATTCATATAAATTGAACTTTTGAGTAACACACTAGGACAAAATGCGTGGTGTACTACCAAGGAAAGAAGATACACAAATTGAGTTTTTTAAGGAACGTATCAAGAAAGGATACGAGTTATTGAAAGAGTTCAAATCCTTTACTTTTTTGAAGAACCATAGTTTTTTCTGTGCATGACATATATCATATTTGGGTTAGAGTTTTTGATCGCAGTATCAAGAAAGAATGCACGTTACATTATTGTATTTTTTGGGGAACTAATGGAGAGAAAACATATGTTGCATTATCCTTTGACTATTCATATTATAAATTTAGATAAGATTTCATAGAAATTAAATGCCACTATATTGTTACACGATTTAGAGCTAGAGACTTAGAATAATGGTATTCAGTACTAGTGTGTTAGAATATCAATTTAGGTAGTCATATTTGATAAGTTCAATTAAATGAATGATATTGAATTTAAGTGAATCTATCATTTAATAATATATAGTTGTCATCAGATTGGTGTTTAATATCAGTGATATTGAATAATATTATTCAGAGACTTAAGTAGCACATGTTTTGTATAAATTAAAATTTAGATTTTAATTTAAAGTCAAGATTAATAATTAATTTTAATTATAAATTTTATGGAATTTACAATTTTTTTAATCACACATTTCAATAATTTTTATCAAAATTTACTAAACGAGGTGCAAAACATTTTCCTTAAAAGACTCTAATCCTAACAACACAAACAAAATTCGTACTTTAAAATTTTTAATCATCTAGATTTCATTTGTTTTGAGTGCATTACGTTTGTACCCCTACGGTCAACAAATAATTACTAAAATAACACAAGGCGTGTCAACTTTCAATTCCAAACGGCTAAATTATGAAAATTTCGAATTAAGCGAATCGCCACCTTGTCTACGCACAGCCAGTGCACGTTAGTATTTCTATTTACAATCTGCCACGTTATCCAAACGCCACCTCAAATTACCCCCTTGTCTTCCTTGAAACCTCACTGTTTACAGATAAACAACTATATATACACGGAGGCTTAATTTCCATTCCAAATTCACCCTTGGACATTTAATTAAATCCAATTTTGTCCTCTCAAATGGCGCCGTCATTCAACTTGGCGGGTCAGGGAAACCAGCCGAACCCGCAGCTTGGAGCTGACCGGAAGAGGCAAAAATACAAGTCGTTGAAAGAGATCATGAAAGTGGCGAAGCGGGTGGTGCTGGTGGAGAATGAGGAGTCTGATGACGGTGGTTATTACACTCGTGTAGCTTGTGATCAATGCGGCTCGGGAGAGCGACCCGAGGAGCTCTTACTGTGTGACAAATGCGACAGAGGGTACCATATGCTCTGCCTTCGACCCATCGTGGTCCGAGTCCCAATTGGGCTATGGTTCTGCCCAGCATGCTCCGATGATCTAGATCGTCCACTTAACAGTATAAAAAGAGTCCCATCTCTATCTACATAAATATATACTCCGGGCGTGGATATGAGTTTTTGTGTATATAATAATTATGCATGAATTTTTGTGTGTTTGCAATCAAATGATTGTATGTACGTATACATGTATGTATGTGCAAATGTATGTATAATTTTATGTGCGTGTCAATGTGTTGGTGTAATTACAATGGTGAGAGACAAATGCAGGTATTATCGATTTAGATAACCGGCATGGTCTGTTATGCAGGTTTTATACAGAAGAAGATTATTAATTTCTTTAGGATTCAGATATGCAGGGAACTGGTGGAGGAACTTGCATGGTCTCCAGGTAGAATTATTGAAACAATTTTAACGTGAAAATGATTCAGGTTTTGTTCTGAAATTCTCTGAATTATGTTATATTAAAATCTTCTATTTGTGTGTGTTGGGGGTGCAGGGGGATCAGTATTAGGGTTTAAGTTTGGTGTGAATATTTGGAAATCACCTGATCTTTCCGACTAGTTTATTCCGGAAGTTGTAATTAGTGTGCATTACTACGGGTAAAACCTGCATTTTTCTTGGACGAGATTCAAATCATAATGAAATTAAATGCATCAGTACAATAATAAATGCTTTCTTCTTGCCACAAGTTATGTTCCTTGTCACAGACAGCTTTGCACCGCAGTGTAGGCTAGCAAGCTCGGGAATGAAGGCAGTGAAATTCTCAGTGAGGAAAAGATTCAATTTTGCTGAAGTTTTTTTTCCTTAAGTTGATAATGTCATCTAAAGATGACATTACTTCTCCATGGCTTGGTCATATTTTGTGGAAAAGGAAACTTCAATTAATGTGTGTTAACTTGATCATAAACTATCATTTCATGGATGGCACGTGTTCGATGAAAACACATCCTGCACTTGAAAGTGTATGCACAGCAAGTTACCAAAATTTTCCAATATTTATTAAGTCTATAGAATCCGTGGCAAAGACGATTATACAAAAGTCCTTTGGTTGTTCTTTTAGTTATCTGAAGAATCATTTCGATGGTTTAACTTAGTGATTTAGTGATTAATTTGCCTGTCGTTTATGTAAAGTTTTTTCAATAAAACAGCTAAGAGTGTGAACTGAGATTTTGGAGCATTGTAGCATCTTCTATACGTGTCCAATAGAAGTTTGTTATTCACTTGACATTGTCAATGCATTAATAAATTCTTTGCTAACTTCTTGTACGTGTACTACACGTCCAATAAAAGTTCTTTGACCTTGATTCTAGATGTCAAAAAACGTCGCAAACGGTCTAGTACATTAGTGTTCCACAAGAAACGGAGAAGGATATTGCCACATGTTCCTTCTGAAGACCCCACCCGAAGGCTAGTACAATTGGGATCTCTTGCATATGCGTTGACGGCTCAGAACATCGAATTCAGCTATGAGCTTACTTACATGCCGGGCATGGCTCCCAGATCAGCCAATCGAGCTGCATTTGAAAATGGTGGCATGCAGGTTTACTTAATTTTTTCTGATTGATCAGATAATTCTCAAATTTTGGAATTTCACAATGAATTGACTGGTCAATAGCTGTTGTTTTGTCATAAAATTGATCACATCATTTCCCATTTCTTTTAATTAGGTTCTTTCTAAAGAAGATACTGAGACATTGGACTTATGTAGAGCTATGTACAAAAGAGGCGAATGCCCTCCTCTTATTGTAACTTTTGATTCATGTGAAGGGTACTTCTTTGTTCCTCCTTTCTCTCATTGAATAGCCCTTGAGTAGTACATATTCGAATATAATGTGCCCTTGTTTAATGTTGCAGCTATACAGTAGAAGCGGATGGTCCAATAAAGAACATGACATTCATTGCGGAGTATACAGGCGATGTGGATTACATTAAGAATCGGGAACTGGATGATTGTGATAGCATGATGACCCTTCTTCTAGCAAGAGACCCATCGAAAAGTCTTGTTGTCTGCCCTGATAAACGTGGAAACATTGCTCGTTTTATTAATGGCATAAATAATTATTCACCGTAAGCCATTGAGCCACAGCCTTTCTCTCCTTGAACCGTGCATCTTTCTTAAATTCCTGCTTATATCGTGACATTCAACAGACTCTAAATGCAGAATTCTATCTTATTCATATCATTGCCAACATACACCTATAGTTCTTGAAACCAGTCAATTGTATGCAGGGAGGGCCAGAAGAAGCTGAACATTAAATGTGTGAGATACAGCGTTAATGGTGAATGCTGTGTACTACTGGTTGCAACTCGTGACATCACAAAGGGAGAGAGGCTATATTATGATTATAATGGATATGAGCATGCGTACCCAACCCATAATTTTGTCTAAGTTTTAACATACAAGTCTTTCTTATTGATTCACACCCTCAGTAGATACACAAACCAAACTTTCCTCCCATTCTATTTATCCTGCGCTCCTAGCCATTTAAGCAGAATCGAAAAATAAATAGTTAGCAGAAGGAATTTTCTATAGATTGTATTTGTAAGGTAGAAAAATCAACCCATGTCCTTTTATATACAACAGTTACATATGAGGAACATAATTTATATAGTTGGTCTCCTCTCAGTTTTATTAGTGCTTTCGGAGTTTCTTCTCGTTCTATTTAGTAATTTCTTATTGTTTTTCTGGAAAATGTGGTATTCTTCGTTAATCTCCAGTTCTACTCCATATTTGGATGCAATTTCAATACTCAGATTCAACAATGTTCTGGTACTCAATCTCTAAAAGTGAATGGATTTCTTTATATCCCCTTCGTTTTTCGAATTTTTTTGAATTTCTTACTGATGTATATATCTTGTTTAGGGGTATGAACTTGCATATTTTATTAATGCTCTATATCTGATTCAAATTGAGTGTTTAGATTTGACAATTTTCTAATATGCGATTTTTACTGTTTGGCAAGTTATGCATTTTAAATATCTCAAGGAAACTTTGTCATTATCAGTTTGTTTACCGATCAAATGAATTATATAATTGCTTTTGGAAAGTTGCTGTCTTGTTTCTCCACTTACAATCTTATAAACCAAAAGGAGATTGAGTATCATATCAGCTGAAGTCCTAGGGTTATCATTACTGTAACAAAGGATAGAAAATTCTATGTTTTATTGTTTAAAAGTAGGAATGCATATTTTTCTAGTGACAATTAATGGGATGATTGATATATTATGTGTGACCAACTTATTGTTTGGGTTGGTTTTTCTTATTGGCTATACTTTGCAGTTTGCGCATCCCATTTTTTTTGTAATTCTAGTTCTTGTGACGTGACCTCTCCTTTACTTGGAGATCCTGAAAAATTTATCTGTTGTTTTTATGGTTTCACTCTTGTTACTTATGGCACTCGCAATCCTCTTTCCCCTTCCAAACCCCGAGAAACAAGGATAAATGACTATGTACTTTCAAATAGGCTAGTAACATGCGATCATTGTTTACTTTATTTGGATTGTCGACAATAAAAAAACCTTGATAGGTATTAGCTCAATCATCTTCCTTAAATACTTATTATTTATTCAAGTAATTATCAAGGCAGCAGTTCAGTAATTGAACTGGACATTGACAAATCTGTCAGTGTTGCTGAATAAATGCATATCGGTACCTTGTCATTTAGTCCTTCATTGTCCGCCTCATGCTCATTGTGAATGTCATAGGATGGATGAAGAAGTTGCAGTACTTTAAATATTGCACAAAAAAGCAAATAATGGCCTTCAAAGAGGCCGTCAGTGTTGCCTTTGAAGCTGCACTCAAACATGGATGATGATCTTCGTCTTTCCTACGGTTGTACTTCAAACCATAGACAGTATGTTCTAGAAAATATGAAGATGGGTGAGCGACGAAGGATCATCAGTGTAGTGTGAAGCTGCAAATCCACATGGAAGAAAATGTCTTTCCTGATGTTGGTGAGTATTCTGAAGACATTCACATAATTTATCTCTATCACACTCACATACGACAGTGTTTTAAGAGGCTACATTTTATGCTGATGTCCTCAGACACTCATGACAGTTTTGATCGGTTCTATAACTCATCCATCTCAAGGAATTTCAGCATTTGTTATTAATTATCCGTTCTTTGGTTTTTAGCAGTTTGAATATTTAATACTGCCACGTTTTACGCATTATAGGTGGGCTGGAGTTCTACTTCAGACATCAGAGAAGATTTACTGTAGAACCGGTGTTTTGAGACAATCTAAAATGAAGGAAGCAGCTGGCACACAGATGCCAGCACAATTGTTTCACCATAGAATCACAGTGTAAGGCACAGACTTCATTTCTGTTTATGTTTTGAATGTTTAAATACAAAGTTGAGCTATTCATTTTGTTCAATTACTAGGCACTGGTACGGAAAAGAAATTGCAACTTTCGCCTGCTGTTCGTGCTGCTTCTTCTCTGAAGATGGATGGAAGAGTTTCATGGTATGACGAAAATGTGGGGCAATACAAAATTTTCAAGTATATGTTCTTATTGCCTATTGACAAGATTGGGAATTTCCATCTCAGGCATATCCAACTCAAGTCTCTTCATATTAGAAGGGTTCTGTTACTGTGGTACATCAGACTTTCTTTACCTGTTGTTTGAGATTTAACTATAATATGGTCTTGAAGTAGTAATATGTTTCCCCTGTATTTTTTCCTTTTTTGTTTGTTGCCTGTGGGTCAATTCTTTCCTTACTTGTTACTTGCTTCAATACAAAGCAAAATATTTAATTTGATTGATTATCACTTTATTATTTAAAATTTCATTTTCTTATTAAACTAGCGATCTCTCCTTTTTTATTGCTGTTTATGTGCCAAACAAGAAACAAGATGAAAGGGTTGAATTCTTACTGGATGCTTGTCCATGGATAATATGAGCTGCTCAAACAAAAATTCTTGAACAGTGAACTATCGATGCAAGTATTGGATTGATAATAAAACAGAGTCTTGGGTCTTGTGGATGTGAATATGCATCTAATTTGAGAGTCCATTTAAATTCAATGCAGAAAATCAGAGAATCCATATCAAAACAAACAATAAAATAAAGGAAAGAGATGAGATTCAAAATGCTAAAAGAAGGTTTTAACTACATAAACATGGATAGCGGAGTTGATTGATAAAATTTTATCTTTCTTTTTCATAAAATTCTTTCAGGAAATTCTGATGTGGAGGGCTCAACAGATGAGACTACTAACATTCTGGAATGATGGATTAGACCATTCTGGATTTGATTAAAGAAGAAAATTAAGTTAAATCTTGTTTGTTTTTACTGCAGTAGTGTCGAACGTTGAGTATGAGATTTTATGTTTATGCTCAATGAATGGTGAAAAATCACATTTGAAAATGACACAGGCTTGAAGAAGTATGTGGTTGCCTAAAATGAAAAATAATGGCAAAGAAAGTATAGATAGATAGTGTATGGCAATGGCATTTTCTGCTAATGTTTAGGGAAAGTCTAAAGTTGTGCCTCAAAGAGTATAATAAGCTGTCTCGTGATAAAAATAAGTTGTCCTCGATATCTTCTTCGAGTCTTTTATGTTTCTACACAGACAACACTAATCTCTAATTTCTTTAGTTCTTGAATATTGTCTTCAAAATCATAATACCATTTAGCTCATTTGAATTCGCAAGCCATTTTCATTTGACATGCAATGTTATATTGTGAAGAGAGTTGAAAGAATTTGAGTAAAACTCAAAAAGTATTATTTTGCTAATCCACTGAGGGAAAATATTATCAAATTTTTTTTTACTAATCAACTGACATATCAATTTATCACATAAGCTTCTACATGCCTCAATTTCCTAAAACTTAGATTTTCTTTAAACTCATTTTCAACCATATTTCATGAGATTCACAACTTTTCTCAATTTTTCTTATCCAACTTTTATCAAATTTACTAAAAAATAAATTTTCTCTAAATTAAATCACCCCATTTCTCGCCGGCTTCTTCGTCCGTCACTAGTCAAGCTTGTCGCCTGTAAAGTTTTCCCATCCGACCCTACTCTCCCTGTCGCCTTTTCTTCAAACGATTCTCCAAACCCGTGGATCCGTTCTCCAATCAGGTGTACAATTTGAATATGCTCTTCACTTACGACTCATTCTTTGCATTTTTTACAATTCCATTCTTCCTTCACGCAGATGAGTTACGTTCTGCACCCTGTTTCGTCAAGTGTACATGAAAACCCAAACGAATATGGCTCCAAAAAAATAAGCGAGATGAAACCCAACAGAGAGGAGGACGTTCATTGCTGCTTGTGAGACTGCCATTGCCGAAGGTCATCGACATGGTAAGTGTTTGACGAAACACGGCTGGGACCGTGTTATTACGCTTTTCAACTCTATCTCCAGTCACAATTGGAGCAAACAACAACTTCGCAACCATTGGGACGCAATGCGTCGAGATCACAAACATCTCACTGAACTGTTAGCTTGTACCGGGGAGGGGCGGGTCGGATTGTAGCATCCGAGGAAACGTGGACTCGAAAAATCAAAGCACGAAGTTGCGAATCAAATGCCATAGTACATAAATAATGACTAAGAGCATCGTTCGTAACATTTTTTGGAATCGATAACATGTTATTTTTTACCTTTCCTCCTACCGATTTTGCTCGGATATTCCTACTTGCAGGTGACTTTATGCGTTCCCAGACATTTTGGCTTCGATGAGAAAAACATGGTCAAGAATGAAGTGTGTTTTACATTTAAATACTACAGACCGACCACTGCATGCATGTGATTTAGAATTGTGATTTCCAAAGTGTAGACCGAAAACGGCATACACATGCAATTTCCAAAATTTATTTTTGAGTTGTGACCGAAAACTGCATATGTAAACTAGGGCTGTCCGTGAGTCGGTTTGATTCGGTTCGGTTCTAAAGAGAACCGAACCAACCCAAAACTTTCGGGTATTTAATAAATAGACCCGTCAGGTCCAAATATAATTATGGAACCGTTCAGGTTCGGTTCCGTTCGTTTGGTTCGGTTCCATGCCATAATTAAATTTTTTAACATTTACAGCAACACTAAATAAATACAACTAATAACATTTCATTTGTAACTTTTATAAATTAACGTAGCCCAATTCAAAAACATATAAATAACTAGCTATCCAATAAAATTAATTCAATACATACAAATACCAAAAAGTAGATGTTAATATTAAAATATCGGTGATCCATATCAAAAACTGCAAATAAATCCCAAACTCCACTGTTTCTTGTCTTTGAAATTGGCTTTAAAATGATTTGGGTATTGGATTTCAAAATTAAATTTATGAAATGATCTGATTTATTTAATTAATTTACTAATTTGTTTAGAAAAAATAATTTAATTTAATTAATTCAATATAAAAAATAAAA